AGAGAGCTTCATCTTGATTTATTTACCTTTATTTGAAGAGATAAATTTAATCAAATAATTACTGGAATGAAAACGAAACCATAGTTTGCTTTCTGAACATCAAGAAGCATAATCAATATTTCTTATTCAATGTGAAACAAAGTAGAAGTCACGTAACAATCATAGAAGCTATCATGACAAGAATATCCAGTTTAATCCCTGACCTCCTTCATCAATATATTCTCCTCCTACTTACATGGATCATTACTGTATAGAACACTCAATCATCAACTAAGTTTATAGTATGAATATGGATATTTTGTTATCTAAACACAGTGGATTTACGTTTTTTCAGGACTCTTCATCATGTTTCCGACTACAGTATATTCATTGTTAACTATTTCAAAAAAGAAACGGGAATATAGGACAGTGCAAAAAACAATGAACATAATTATGAAAGTGATATAGGTGTGCAGAAGAAAATACATAGACAGATAGTCAACAAAATGGGAACATAATAACATGATTCAATAGTCAGATAATGAACATAACGCCTAGTGGTACAGTCATTTGGACCTGTGGAACAACACTTTTATCTAGGCGTCAAGATGGATACACTAGAATTACATAAATTCACTAGACCAGTAATCAATCAGTTTGTGAACCACTGCGACGCTTTACTCTCTTCAGTGTTCATAGGGATTACTTTCGAAATGTGCATGCAGACCTTCATAACAGAAAATATTTTCAACATAATCACCACGTTAACTTTCCTAACCAAAAATTTCGTGATGTTTTTTGTTAATAAACAAATAAACAACAAAGAGTCTAATCGGATAAGTATAATATTCCTTTTTTCTATCAGTATTTTAACTTTCATTCCTATTATTTTACACTTCAGATGAATTATTCATCTGTTGTATTAATTATAGATTACAAGTTTCATAGACACAGCTTTTAATTATGATTCTTAGTTTAAAATGTACACTAATAAAGAAAAATTCAAATTCTACACGTTGAGCATAACGTGGTACATATTTAACTGGACAATGTTAGAGAAAAAACAATCACTTTAAGATCTCGTGTCTGGACAGAAACAAGACAATTTCTACCCCCTCCCCACCCCCACACCCGACATTTCTCAATTGAAACAACAAGAAAGTGGTCAAAGTGCATTCAGGTTTTGATATAATAGAGTGAAAATCGCTTAGCTAACGAAAATATAATATGTAGAAAGCTGACGAGTGTTTCGATTAAGCTTCCCCTGAGGTGCATAAGTGTTTATTTGCTTTGGATATTCATATATCTGATTGACTCCTAGTAGGTAAGCTAGTTAAGCCTCGAAATTAATGTTTACTTATTCCATATACCGAGGTTTCATTCGCTGGGTTTATTGAATTATAACAGCTGGCTTTTATAGCCAAAGTCTAAAACCCCTGAATTAGTAAATACACGTAAAAATTATGATAACGATGAAAGGATTAATCAAAACAAATGCTTCATGAAAAAACTCATGAATCATGCGGCAAAACTGAAAGTTACATTGCGAACTGGAATTAGCACGATAGCATGCATGATTAGATTCTGACCCAATGACTTAGGGGTAACTGGTTGACCAGGAGACACAATAAGCTTATGACACCTAAAAGAGCAATATATAGTAGTAATTCGGCCACATTTTCGATTTTCCATGTTTTTATGGTTGGCGGCAGACGACGAAAACTACATCTCATAAGTGGTATGAGTAATCGGGAAGGTAAAATAGATGAATTTACCAATGATAAGGATAAATTTTTAAACAAGCCTTTTTTATTCTAGAAGTGAAGCGTTATAAATAGACTAGAGGATTACAAGACAAATATGCCGACTTAGGTCACATTTTTTGTCTACAATATTGGGTCGAACATTTTTTTAGAATTGTCACTAAATGTTTCACAAACAAATACAGGGTGGGTCTATAAAATTTTGATACATGTGTATTAGTGGAAACTGTAACTTTACATAATTTAGATTTGGAAAAATAAAGAGGAATTGGTTATTATATATATATATATATATATATATAATCCATGCGTGGCTGTTGCACCTTATTAGGTGCTAGCTAGTGTTTTCAACACTCGAAGTAACTGAGATCTGTTTTACATACATAGAAAAGTGAAGACTGCCTGTTTTGAATCCTCCGGTTGCTAAATAAAGTATAATCAGCACTTTATTCATAGCACAGTGATCTATTTGAATAGAAATAGAGACGTAAAATAAAGAGAAATCGCAGTAAGTGGAGTAGTCTATGAAATTAAGGCTTATTTCGACTTATCTCGTGAAATGAAATAATCTCATTCTATCTCTTTACAGGTACTGGCGGATTAACTTGACCAATATGATCACCGAGTCACAAGACTAAGCATTATAATTTAATTTGGTTTAATATAATAACCTGTGAAGGCATGACCAAAAGTCTTTGATCTGGATTTTGTTTTTCTACGTGCCTAAGTTTGCAAACATTTCTGACTAATAACCAGCCACCAGCAAACACAGAACCTAATTCTTTGGGATTTGAACATGTACTTTTAACTATCAAGAAGAGATCTAGATTTCTCAATATAGTAAGAGAAAGCAATCAGGCTCTCATAACATGAATGTAGTCAATAGAAACAATTCTTTAATTATTATGGATATAAAACTGTAAAGGCTGATGAAGTTTTTGAATGATTGACTGTGAGTACAGAAATAAATAAATGAAATTTCGTTTATTCAGTACAACACTGTTTGCAATGCATAAAATATTTTATCGAATGGAAAGTTAATTTGAGGAAAGGCACAAATGACAGGAACAAAATATTTCGAATACATAGAAAAACACTTTATGGTCGTTTTATTACAAAATGAATGGAACAATGAAAATTACTATTTTTATGACACGAGAATGAATTAGGAAAAAAAATAGAACGAAAAGCAAGTAGACTATCAGAAGAAGGAGTGATAATAATAATAATAATTTCAGAAGACAAACGCGTTCAGATTAGATTAAGAATGAAAGTAACCATACCCTATGAAAAAATATATAACAATAAATACGAAGTTTCCAATAGCACAAAGACAATAAACCGTGATATTTAACACAGAAATACAGTACACTGAAATGTCTGAGCCTACTTTGAGAACTTGGGAACAAGTTTATGTTACCAATCCCCGAAGCAGGTGACTGCTTTTCATACGCATAACAATATGTACAGGTTTTTTTGTTTCAAATCTCCCAACTGCTAACAATTTATAATTAGAGATGTTTGATAGCACGTCTTAAAGTCATTACGAATTGCTCAGATGAGATCCTTCCTTATTGTTAAAACATAGAACATCTTCATTACTCTTCATTAGATTACTCCATGTTAGACAAGCATTTAATCACTGCAGTAACATTACGTCTACTTTGTGTGAATTTAAGTAGTGACAAATTTAACTATTGTACAAAGTTTTGTCTGACTGACTGACTGACTAGTTTCAACATAGAACTTTGCACCGATGTGCAGCACTTCCAGTTGCCACTGTCCATCCATGTAGCATACAAAGCAAGAGAAGAGAGTAAAAGGAGATGCAAGAGAGAAATGATAAACAGAAATGCGAGGCAAAAAGCGTAGTAATATGTAAGAGCAATATAGTTTCATTGTATATGACAAATCATCACAAAGAGTGAATGCATCTGTGTCATTGAGAACGATTTTGAGCCATATCACCAATTGTCTCCAGCCTCCATTTGTTTTTACCATCCTGGGTACCCTAACCAGGATGTCTACATCTCCCTACATTCACGTGTCAGTTAAAACTACTTTTGCTTTTAATCGACGATAAATATATGTACATAATCTAGTCTTACAGCAAGTTAAACCTGACCTGAATGAGATACTGGCTATTGTCTCAGTCTTAGATACTATCATCTCAATAAGCTTGAAAAGGTGTAAAATCGGATGCAAGTACAGTTATTTGCTAACTGTTAGTTAAGACAACATGCCCTGGCCAGCATAAATTAGAATAAAAGTTTTTTTTAATGAGTTCCTAAAAAAGAAAAGAGCAGTCTAAATTGAATAAATTAAATGGGCATAATGCGTATAAAAGTCAATAATTTCCAAGTTGATAGGTAATGGTCCTACGTCTTGATGATAACATAGTCTACTTCCTGCAAAAATGATCTTTAAATTTAATGGGTATCCTTGGGCTCATCTCTTCAGTATTTAACTCAATAAATAATACATCTTCGCAATATAGCATAACATGCTTGAATATGAATCAGTGTTGACATGCAAGGATTGGTGATAATAACTAGTTGCACAGATTTCAATAGGTGGGAAAGAAGGACTGGAACTCGGAACCTTCTGGATGAATTAATCAAGATTATTAACAAGATTATTAGTATTTAGAAAATAAACCCACGTATAACAACTAAATGTGCGCCGGTGGCATAGCGGTTAGGACGCTCGCCGACCATGCAAGTGGTCCGGGGTTCGATTCCCAGTCGACGAACTCCTTTACCTCGCTAAACCAGAAATAATGCTGGTAAAGAGGAAAGGTTGGGCACGGGGATAGCAACCCCATCCTGTAAAATAAACACTGCTACAGAAACTTCAAGCCACTAGCTTGAAGCCCTATGTTCCACTGGGGAACATGAAGGAAAAAAAATAACAACTAAATAACTAAGTACGTAGCTCAGCTCTCTTATGTCAATTAAAGACGAATTGATGCAATAAAGTACTGCTTGAGGTTATTGTCTTTTACATCGAAACAGGAAGACTTAATTTAGTTAACAAAAGGAAATTGTAAAAAATACTTAAATCATAATAAACTAGTTTTAACTCTAGTACTATAATACGTTAATATTAGGAAATAAACATTAACTTTGAGTTGTATATTTTATATAATACATATTTCTGAGACATTCACAATAGAACTGTATATAAATATATACCATTTTCTTTAGAGAACACTTTTTTTTCAATTAACAATGAGTATAATTGTTGTCGTTCACTTACAACTCATCCGACTTCTGTAGAGCGCAGAAACGAATAAGTTGATCATTATTTCTGCAGCAACAGCTTAACACACATGAATATCCCATATTATGGTAACAAGAAAAAATAAGACGAATTACATTACGTTTGTTTGAGACCATAAATACATCACAGAAACCGAAAAACGAATTGGATAGCTAACTGACATGAACATTTTACAAAAAGTGACAATTATAAGATTCTTTGTAGAAAAAGAGTACAGACTATTATTATTATTATTATTGTATCCTTTAGTTCCTAGAGGAACATAGGGCTTCAGCTGCGCACCTCCATTGCCTTCGGTTTCCTGACAACTTTTTCACCCTGCTCCAGGTCTGTCCACATGCTTTCATCTCCTCCTCGCATGACCTCCTCCAAGTCACCCTTGGGCGACCAACTCGCCGCCTCCCTTTCGGGTTCCACTCGAGGGCTTGTCTAGTGATGTCACTTGATGGTTTCCTCAGCGTATGGCCAATCCATCTCCATTTCTTCCTGCCTATTTGTTTCACAATCGGTTCCTGATTAGTTCGCTCCCAGAGATCCTTGTTGCTGATCTTTCCTGGCCATCTGATCTTGAGTATTGAGCGGAGACAGCTGTTAGTGAAGGTTTGAAGTTTGTTTGAGATGCTCTTTATGACTCGCCAAGTCTCTGATCCGTATACTTGCACTGACTTTACATCGGAGTTGAAAATCCGGATCTTATTTTTGATTCTGAGTGATGTTGACCTCCACACAGATTTGAGAGTAATGAAAGCTTGTCTTGCTTTTCTGATTCTGGCTTCGATATCCTCATCAGTTCCGCCTGTAGTTGAAACGATGCTTCCAAGGTAGGTGAAGGAGGCTGTTTCTTTCAGGTTCTTCTCATTTATGCTGATTGTTGTCTGTTGTTATTGTTGCTGTTGATGTTGGCTAGGAATCTTCATCACCTCTGTTTTATCTATGTTCACGTGAAGTCCTATCTTTGATGCTTCTTCTGCCAACTTGTTACTTTTCACTTGCATATCTTCCAGTTTATGGGAAATCAGACATATATCATCGGCGAAATCCAGATCCTCCAAGTCTTTCGTGTCAGTCCATTTTATGCCTGTTCCCTCGTTGGTTGCCGTTGTCTGTCGCATTATCCAATCAATTGCAATCAGGAAGATCATTGGTGATAGTAGACAGCCTTGCCTCACTCCCGTCCTCACTTCGAAGGCCTCCGTAAGTTTCCCGTTCAGCAAAGAAATAATGACCTAAACATTTTGAATAGTCCAGTGCTTGCATGTATATATATATATATATATATATTCAGTTTCCTGTTTTCTTACATGTCATATTTCTAACTTATGCATACCATACATATTGGTACTAACATAATGAAATTGAAAATCTACACAGAACTGTACATTATAAGATGAGGAATGACTACCACAATAGTGGTAATAAAAACAACGATAGTGTAATTAGAAAAATAAACCAGTTTGGAAAGTAAAAATTTACTTTTAACGTGAATAATCATTGTAAATAAACTTCAATTAAACCGCTGTTTTTCGACTCGTTTTGGGAAGATCATTAGAATAAACAGAGGTTGAAGTGACAACACAACAGCAACAGCAACAACGTCTACAAAGCATTCAGTGAAATGCACACAGTTATAGTTGCATCTGTTAGTAAAATAAAGCAAAACAACAGGAAGATGAGATATTTTTAAAAGGTTCAAAACTATTTACATTACACTCTTATTTACCGAATGTATTTATTTGCTATGATTTATTATTAAACTGATAACTTAAAAACTTTACAATTTTAGTACAGATCACATCTGACAAGGTACTACTACCAAATAATATTGAAAACTGGAAACCATTTACATCAATCAGTAGTATTCACCAGCTAAAATGAGGTGATTTGTTTTAGACCAGGGTTATCACTGATGAACATAGATTGGTGGAACCCTGAGGATAACCGCTCGCATCACCCAAGACACGCTGATCTGTCTAACAAGTTACTTAAAAACTGAACCACCTCATCAGAGAAAGTGAACTGTAAATAAACTCGCCAACAGCATTTCTGGACAAAATAAAAAATATGAGGATACGACTTCGTTTTTTACTTTAATCAACGAAAACAAACCTATCTAAAGAAACAATAGATGATTACTATTTTTCAAATAGTCGAAATTCACAATTACAAGCCTAGTAAACATTGATTTACATCAGACAGCCAAATGGTTTGCCTATCAGTCACTATTGTTTGGTGTAAGTCTTTATCAATTATTCATATCACTTAGTAGTGCTTATCTCATAATAAGACACGCAATCTTCAGGGTATTTATTATACTGAGAGCATTAAATCTTCAGGTCTCATTATTTTCCGTAACCATAAGAAATGGCAGTGAAATTTCATGCCAAACCATGCAATCTGTAAATATCTGGTTTCATTGTAGCTGAAATAATGGAGACAATTTGTAGCTCATGTGGGTGATTTTGACCTAGTTATGATCTCCGATGTGGTTGATTTAATTGCGAAGCTTTCGTCGTCCTTCTAGACAATATCTTCAGCGCGGGTTTTAGTATAAAATGAATGTATGTGAATTCTCCATGAATGATTTAATTGTATCTCCTGACAACCATTGTTATGACTGGTTGTTAACTGATCATTTTTATTAAATTGGAATTTCAACTTTTTATCATGTGATTTATTATTTATTAGTTGGTAAATTTGCTCTATAGTAGTGTATTTGTTAATTGCTGATTCACTTGAATACCAGGCTTCTAGAAATTCCCTGGCATGCTTGGTATTTCCTCTGTTTAGAATTTCTACATTATCGTAATCAAATTGGTATCCGTAACTATCTACACGCATTGATTTGAAAGAATATATATCATGCCTTTTTACAGCTGATTTGTATTCTTTAATTCAGATTCGAAGGGGACGCCCACTTTGAACAATGTAGTGTTTATTGCAGTTCATACAATTTATTTTGTAAATGGCACTGATTTTATCTTCCTTTCTGTTGGGTCTTTCGGTTTGTACAATACCGAATGAAGGGATTGTGCTGGTAAAGTATAATTATATTTTAATAGTTTACACACAATGATAAGTTTTGTTATTGGTAATATTTCGCCTATCTCACCAATTATAGCTGACATATTCATGAATTATTGGGAGGAGAATGCCCTTAAACCATTCAGATCATCACTAAAATGTTGGTGGAGATATGTAGACGACACACTGGTAATAGTGAAAAGAAACGATACTGAGAAACTTTTCTCACACATAAACAACCACGTCGACTCAATAAAATTCACTATGGAATTAGAGAATGAAATTGGAGAACTGCCCATGTTAGATTGCAAACTACAAAGAATGACAGATGGTAGCATAAAAACAACGATATATAGAAAAGCCACACATTCTGGAAGATTCCTTGATTATTACTCAGCTCATCCACTCTCGGTAAAACGAGGATTAATACAAGGTCTTGCAGATAGAATACGCAGACTTACAACAGCATCAGAGGACCAGCGTAAAGAAATAAAAGTCCTATTCAAAATGCTACTCGAAAACAACTACCCTAGAGAATTTATAAAAGATAATATAAAAAAGAGTTTTTTTTGGTAAAACCGGAGAATAACAAGAAGGAAGAATGGAAAAAAACAGTCGCAATACCATATAAAAATGGTACATCAGAGGCAATACAAAGAAACCTCAAAAATATCGGCATTCGAACAATCTTTAAACCGACAAATCTAATCAAAAATAAAATAAATCAACTGAAAGATCCCATAAAAATGATGGATAAAAACAATTTGATTTATAAAATATCTTGTGCTGACTGTCCAACTAAATATGTGGGGCAAACGTCCAGATCACTCAAAATAAGAGTGAGTGAACATAAACGCCTAACTAAAGGTCAACCAACAGGGACACAAGCTTACAAAAATCTTGAAAAAAATTCATCGATAGCTGCACATGCATGGGACAAAAACCACAAAACCGATTGGGACAATGTGTGTTTACTCTAAAAATAAACATGAACAAATGGTTTTAAAGACTCATAACAGAATCGATATTCATTAAAGTCACACCGGATACATGTAACAAGGGTGACTCAATACAACTATCAACAACTTGGAATATAATTCTAAATACAAACATATGAATGAATGTGGAGTATAATTCTGAACACACATATGCACACACAAAACATGAATGAGCAAACAGATAATAATAATAATAATGAACTATCTATAGTTTGATTTGTAAGGATTAGTTATGTTTTACGGGTTGATCACGGATTGATATCAGTTAGAGAACCATTGAAAACCAGGGAGTACTGGACAGCTGCTGTTTCATCCTAGTTTGGGAATCATCGGCAGTACGCACCCGCTGGGATTCGAACCCGGGACCTTCCGGTTACATAGCAAGCTCGTATACCATTCAGCCACTGGGACCCGATTCAATGGCTCGTGAATTCTAACTTCTACTAATTCGTGATTTAGCGCGACCCCAACCATTGTCGTTGGTGGGACATCCATCCGCACACGTGACATCTAATCGGACCTCACTGGTCACGACTTCTCACTAGAACTCAGGAAACTCCAACCTGTAGCAAGTCACTAACGAGCATCAGATTAACTTTCTATAGTTTTTGGTTTGTAAGGATTAGTTATGTTTTACGGGTTGATCACGGATTGATATCAGTTAGAGAACCATTGAAAACCAGGGAGTACTGGACGAGCTTGCCTTGTAACCGGAAGGTCCCGGGTTCGAATCCCAGTGGGTTCATACTGCCGATGATTCCCAAACTAGGATGAAACAGCAGCTGTCCAGTACTCCCTGGTTTTCAATGGTTCTCTAACTGATATCAATCCGTGATCAACCCGTAAAATAATGAACTATATATATGAGTACAAATCATAAATGTGTGAATAAAACAATTCCAACAGTAGTGTGAACACGAGCAGTAATTTTGCTCGAAATATTACCAATAACAAAACTTATCATTGTGTGTAAACTATTAAAATATAATTATACCTTATTTGATCTAATCCACAATGCTCAAACTTTTTACTGATATTGATTGTGCTGGCTTGTGTCTTATGTCTATTTCAAACGGTCTTAATATTCTAGCTTTTATTTCAGAGATATTTTTATGTATGGTAGGATGAATTTTCTTGAGGTCTTTGATGATGGTTTTTTGTTGGTGTTATGACTCTAGTTTAAACAACTTTTGTTGAAAATATGAGAGTATTCATTCTTTTTGAAGACGGTTAGTAGCTTTTTTCCTTCATTCTCTTCAAAACCGGAGTGCTACAGTGAGTTTGAAATCTTTTAAACATTGTCTGCATTTAGTTTCCTTTGTCAGTATTAGGGTTACTACTACTATAGCTGAGTATTTGGTTTGTGTGTTTTGATTTTTTATATACTTGTGTTGGACCTTCTGATTAGAACACCTATGGACAGATTTTGTTACCTAATTCTTCTTGTGACTTTAATATCTTCAAATGTGTTGTTCATTAATTTGTGAGTATATTCCAAATCATTTCTTTTAATTATTAAAAATGTCTCATCATGTTGTCAAGATGGACGACGAAATCTTCGCAATTAAATTAATCGGCTCAGAGGATACAACGAAATCAAAATTCATTTTAGCGGGTTAACAACTTTAAAAGTAATTATTACTGAGAAGCTTATATATATATATATATATATATATATATATAACCACAATAACTGCGGTACAGTGTATACAGTATTAGAAATTATTTTACCTAATGGTATCATGCTGATTATACCATAGATGAAATCAGAAAATAATATAAATTAAAAAAGATGTTTGACTAACTTATCGACCTAAAACTTCGCACAAAAGTGCATCAGCTCATGCTGTCACAATTAGAAAAAGCACACAAAAGTAGAAAAAAGAATTTAATAAAAACGTAGTGGACGAAGTCTTATAATAAAGATGACAGACTGCACTACATTAAAGACGCCCCTGTGTAAACAGCTGAGTAAAACCCCGGTGCTAAACATGAAGCAAGTTGGAAGATGTGGTAGATCATTTTAAATCCGTGCTGCAACTTTGTCCATTAGGGTTAATGCAGCTAGGACCTTTTTTATTTTTTATTTTTAATTACAACTTGATTCCATACCGTATTTTTGGTACAAGTATGGAATTTTCAGCATGTGATATCAGTAGCCCAAATTTTGCAGGCCGAACATAGATATCAGGTGTGCGTCAGCAGGGGATCGAACCTCGGACCATGTGCATGGTTGGCGAGAGTCTTAGCCACTGTGCCACCGACGCACAATACATACCAGCCCAGTAGCATCACATTATAACTGATAGGTGCATGTCAAATATAGCCAGAATTCCGCTCAAATTTTCCAGAGGACTCCTCATTTTTACGGCATCTGCACCTAAAATGGCAATATCATCTGCTTACTCTACAGTGATTAGATTTTCCTGTTATTTGTCAATCTCTAAAATACCAAATTCTAACAGTTACACCCGTTTATATTGAAATTAGATAAAACTGGCGACAGTTGGAATCACGGAAGGATACCACCTCTCCAACTGTTCATAGGGTCTTGCACGGCTACATGAGGGTGCCTTGGTCAATTCATCATACTTTCTTGGTACTTCATTTACAATCAA